ACACACATCAAAAGTGTCTAGGGATCAAGTGAATATTTTTGAAATAAAAATTATTTAAGCAATATTTACCAAATCCAGTCTTCCAGGACGACTTCTTACTTTAATGCTTATGTTTTATTTAACCGCTTACCCCTATATTTAATTAAAATAAACTAAAATTGATGTTTTTGCAAATTGTGGGAAAAAACTCAAATTAACGGCGTCAATTACATGACAAAAAAATGGCGAAAATGATGATTTTGCTCATTTTTATTGTAAAGATAAGAAAATTAATAATCTGTATTTCCACCATTAACACGAATCACACAATTACAGCGATTTGGCATGCTTAAGATGAGTTCATCAAAATCACTTTGAGGAATGGCCGCCCATGTGTTTTGTAACAAGTCAAAATATTGTTGTAGAGTATGTACGGTATGCATACTCGGCACAGCTCTTCTTTGAAGCATATCCCATGCGTGCTCAATTGGGTTGAGGTCTGGCGATTGAGCAGGCCACGGCAGAACGTTGATACGAGCTTCGGCAAGAATGCGTGTTACGACTCTAGCCATGTGTGGACGTGCGTTGTCATGCATTAGTTGAAATGAATCACCCAACTGGCCTCGCAAAGGGATGATAACATCTGAAACAATCCTCACTGCGTAAACTTGAGCATTGAGGTTACCCCTGATCCAAATGAGATCGGTTCTTCCGCCGATCCAAATACCGGCCCATATCATTATTGTTCCCCCACCATATGGATGAACTTCCTGACAATATCTCAAACGTTCATGACGTCCAGATGTTCTCCAAACTCGAGTACGTCTTGTATCCGGTCTCATACCGAAGCGGGATTCATCCGAAAAGCACACATAGCGCCAGTCTTCTTCCTCCCAGTTTCTGTGTTCGCGAGCCCATCGTAAACGGGTCCTGCGATTGCAGGGTGCAATAGGTGGAACTATGAGCGGCCTTCGGGATCGCAGACCCACTACACGTAAACGATTTCGGATTGTTTGATCGCTTATTAGCAAGCCTGAGGAGCTGTGGAGCCTTGTAACCAACATCATGGCGGTCATGGTACGATTCCGTCGAGCAGTATTTTGGAAATACCGGTCCTGTCTGCGAGTCGTGATGCGAGATCGTCAGACCAGCTTGAACCAGCTTCCAACATTCCGACGGCTCGCATCATCACTTCTCGGGTTAAATGATGTCGTCTCTCCATAATAATGTAAATTGTTTCGGTTCCGATGCAGATATTGTAATGATTTTGTCAAAACGCTATAACTCATTTTTATACAAAACCACATTGACAATCGATTTTCTTCTTATTATCGAATTTTAAACAATATTCCTTATTTAAATGTTAAAACTCACTAAAAAGTATCAATAGCGATACAAAAAAGTTAATATAATTAACCCTAATTGCAGCAATACTCTTAAGCGTACTTGATCCCTAGACACTTTTGATGTGTGTATATAATACTTCATTCAATGCGAAATAAATTTAGTGTTCTAACCTATATAATCTTCTTCCAATTAATCTTTAATCACAGAAAACCCAACAAAACGTTACAAGCGGTTGTACTACATTAGATACATTAGTGTCAGAATCGCGTGTGATTCTTAACTTAATCTTTTTTCAGGCTCAAAAAATCAAAGCACATCCACTGCTGTACTGTGTGACAGCTGGAGTGTCGGCTTCATTTTGTTTTCTTTTACCTGTCGGTACACCTGGAAATCTCATCGTACAAAGCGCAGCTAATATACCAACTTCAAAAATGGTAGATATCATATTCTCATAGAAATCGTAGAGTGACATTACATTATCACGGCTAGAAAATATTTTTTTATTTACCTTATATAATTGAACATCAATATAAATTCTATATATTGTCATGTTTTGATAACAAATTCTTGAGAGACTCCAATGTACAAATAACATGTCTAACATTAGTACAAATACGCAAATGTCAAAACTAGACAGAACTTGGCGCTATATTTGTGTATGCGATTGTCAAGCTCGCCTTTATAGAGTTAATTCCCGTGACGTCATTTTTGTAAGAGTTCAAAATAAAGTTAACGCGCCTTCAAATTAGACGCTTGTTTCTACAATCAATACCTCAGCCAATGCAGAAAAATACACTTCACAAATTATTCTACTAGGAATATCACACGAGACCTCCTCATCCAGTTCTGAGTGGCACTGGAACTGCTATGGACAGGCGGGGTGTCGCTTACCACCCGGTGTACGATTTGATCGTGCCGTCACTTGCTATTATAAAAAAAAATTGTCGTCAATAAGGTAAAAAAAAAAATTGTATACCATGAAAAATCACCAACCAGTATGTATCAAGTTCCATTGCAAACCCCGAAAAGTAGTCGTAGTAGCCACTACTAATTTTTAACATCTAGTTTGCAAAATTCTCGCCCTTATGAAAATTAGTATGGCGCGGAGTGGCACCACTGCTGCGCTCTAACAAGCGTCTAATTTGAAGGCTCCCTTAAGGTATACCAAAACTTGATGGCATTTAGACAAATTTATATTTGTGGTGGGCAACATCAATGTATTGGGGTAAAATGTACTAGATACTTTATATATTTAATTAACCCGAAGTATAAGTGTGTGACAGAGATAAGTAGTAGAGTTTCTGTAGTGAAGTATAATAATGAAATTCAAAATCTGTGATTTGTCGATCGATTATATTCAGCCTAGTAACATCCCATTGCAGAGCATAATCAAACAATTAAAATCTCCAAGTGCTTCTATTAACTTGTCTTGCTCAATAAATTTATTAGCTTATCTTGTTCAATACATGTAGAACCAATTTGTTACCCGTGTACCTGTAGTTAAAGTGTTTCTTTCCACATTTTGCAGATAGTCACAGGAGCTGCACCCACAGTAGTAATTATTTTCATAACATGGTTCTTTCTAATAGTTTATGCTCCTGTGATATGGTCCGATATAAATGCAAAAGAAATACCCGATTGGGCTAAACCAAAACCTTAGTAAGTAGGTTAAAACTGTACAATACAGTTAGATTAATAAACATCATGAAACAAACACATGCAATCAATTATATGCTCTGCCAACCGATGATCAAGATCAAGTCAAACAAGATTGTTCCAGTTTTATTTATTTTTCATATAATTTTATTTTGTATTGAATCGTATGTGTAATATATCAAAGGACATGATTTACTGATAAAATTAAATTTGTACCAAATAACAGTGCAGTTGTAATCAGTTTTATTATTTTAAATTAGATAACTTCTTATTTACGTAAATGGTCCATTTTCAAATTTGCGGTTTACATAGTAGAACTCCTAGTGAAAGAGTCGTCCATGGAAGTACTGTCGGTCGTTTATTAGTGGTCATACACTGGATTACTGAGTTCCGATTTTGAAAGACAATTAAAGGTTGAAAGTACCTTACTATTTCTGCTGACTAGCAGTAACGTGATCTTTATTGCGTTCCGGTTTTGAAGGTCCTTTGTTTCCAGCCAGAGTCGGCAAGCCACCCGGTGTAAATAGTGAGTCGTGAGACGACGGCAGTTTGTAGCCAAAGTCGACCGAACTGACTGGGTGCGTTATAATATAAAAGTAACGGGACTTACTCGCGTAGTATTTTAGTCGGAAGCGGTCCGACTAGTTTCGACCATAATCGTTGGTCTTCTTCAGGGGTTGAGTGCAACGTTCGCGACCGTGTCACGTCTAGCACTGCGCGTTGCGGCTCTCTGCGCGCGCGCCGATGACGCAGTCCGCAGTGGGGAACTCGGAGGGCTGATACGTAGCGTCAGCGCGTCCTGGAACTCTTCTTCGCTATACAGAGCTCACCACGTCGTTACTACTAACATCTGCAGCTGCATACCGAGCGCCATGAAGATACGGCTTCCAGGTCGGCGACAAGCTCCAGCCTCCGTCTCTATTAAAATTTGGTCGCCTACTTATTTCAATAGCCTCTCGGATTTTGGGAAGCACAAAATACTTCTCCCGCGCTTAAACCTTAGCTTTATCAAACCGAATGTAGTGACCAGTACCGGAGCTCAGAAAGTGGTCTGCCACCGCAGATCCATTGACATCTTGGTTTTTCATGGATCGGATATGCTCAGCTAGCCTAGTAGCCACGTTCCGTCTCGTTTCGCCGACGTAACACTTGCCGCAGTCACAGGGAACCATATAGACACCGGGGACCCCCAGAGGGTCTCTGCCCTTTAGAGAGCGAAGCAATTGTCGCAGCTGTGTGAGAGGACGGCATATTATCTTGATGCTGTACCTTCGGCGTAACAAGTTTCCAATCACATCCCTCACCCCTCTGACATAAGGTAAGTACGCTGCCGCTTTCTCTACCGATGCTGGTCGAGGCCTCGTTGATGCATTTGCCACACGCCAACTCTGTTTCCACTTGTAACCGTTACCAACCAACACGTCCTTCACATGATTTAGCTCAGCATCTATGTAATCCGGGTCGCATAGTTTCAAAGCCCTATTAATGAGCGTCCGCGGAACTGAGGCTAAATGTGCCGTGTGGTGATGTGAATCCGCTCTCAGGTATGTTTCATAAGATCAGGAAGTATATCTTTGTCAACACAGCCATTAAATACATCTACTAATACTGGAGCTATAATATTTATGATATGCTTAATGGTTTTAATAGAAATGTCCCACAAATCACAAGTATTTTTCATTTTTAAAGTTTTTGTAGGTAGTTTATATGAATTCGATATTTATGCATGTGGGCAAACTGAATAAAGTACAGTCAGTCTTGATCCGGAACTGGTGTTTGATTGTCGCTCCCAACCAACAAGGACGTCGACATGGCGCAGCCGGAAATTGAACCATTGTAATAGTCATCATAACAAACGGATAAATAC